AGGAAGCTCTACCCAACTGCAGCTGTGTATGTGTGTGTGTGTGTGTGTGTGTGTGTGTGTGTGTGTGTGTGTGTGTGTGTGTGTGTGTGTGTGCGCGTACTATTGTCCACGACTACATGCATGGTTACAGTATATTCACGGTATTAAACGTTACAGGAAAAATCCTTTTGCACATTTGCACGTTTGCTTGAGCTCTTGCATGTGCAGGTATGTGAGGAGTGTGTGCTGAGCCAGCTGCAGATTGAAGGGGAGTGTTGTTCAGAGCAATTGATACATAGCAAATAGAGTGGGCTTCCTGTCCGGGTTTTGTGGCTAAGGTGCTAAACGCTTCAGAAACCAGATACACTTGCACATCCTCTAAAGCGATAGAGGGACAGGGTGGGAAGGTGGGGGAAACATGAGGGGCGGTAGGAGAAAAAAAAAAGTTAAAGATAGGTAGATAAAGAATCAGACACTGTAAGGGAAGCCTGCATTTTTCGATTACTCCCTTTAATATGGCATTACTTAAACTGTTGGCATTTGCGCAGCCGAGATGTCGGTTTGAAATCAAAGAAGGGTTCATTTCTCAGAGAATGCGTTTGCCGTTTGTTCTCCTTCGCCTCTCTAATGAGATGGAATGTGGTTAAATTAGCAGCTGAGAGGCAAAGCTTCATTTACAAGACCATCAAATGATCCTTTACAAAACACACTCAATATGCATTAGATGTCGGCTTTGTGAATATAGGATGGCCTCCTTATGCACTCAAATGGGGAGGGGGTGTGTTTGGGTGTTGCGCAGCGGTGAAAAATGCCAAACTGAAATCATCCATCACAATGCAATAAAAAGGCCTGCAGCGCTCTGAGTGGGTGAGACGAGTGAGATGTTTGTATTGGCCCACTGGGTTTCCCTGTGTGTAAATGTTAAAAAAATGTTCTTTTTATTAGACGAATTGCATCATTAAATCACATTATAAAAACAAAAAATGCACCATTAATTTCCTCCCCAAACAGCCGTAAGTACATGTCTCTCTGTCCCTGTGCCCATCTCTGTGCACCCCCATGGGGCGGCAATTCTAAACCTATTCTATTCCATTATACAGATCAATCAGGATGGGGAGATCTACAAACACACGTTTGGGGCTGGGGGGAAAAAAATGACTTCCTAATTGTCAGTAGGCTTGTTTCTTTGCCTACAAGCCACACAGAGGTCCGAGCAAACAGGTAGTGTCTCCTTTCCATTTTGTTGCCCTTCTTCCTTCATCAGGACAGGAAAGGTAGCATGAATAATAGATGAGGGAGGTGATGAGATCAATCAGAGGCTATCAGTCTGGCAGATAGGAGTGAACAGAGGAGGACGTATATCTGTGCTGGACTAGAACAGCAGACCAGCTGTCAGAGATTGCAGCGAGAGGTGCAGATAAGCATTCTGTGGACCGGGGAAGCAAATATATGTACAAAGAAAAATGAGAAGGACAGGAAACTGCTAGAGGCCCAAAAACACACACACAGAAACATCTCATCATAAACCTGCTTTCACACCCATCCCTGCATGCATTGACCCCCCGCACCTCTGCATCACACGCTCTCACATCTGTGACAATGCCACCGCAGCATGACAAATGCAAACAAAAGGTTCCCCTATTCATCACTGTAGCGAAAAGGGTGGGGCTAATTATACAACTGTGGAAATTATGACTTTCTGTTGTTTTGTTTGTCCTCTAAGAGATTACAATGCAGAGGATGGAGGTGCGGAGGGGGAGAAAATAGCCTCGCAGCTTCTCTGTGAGGGGGCGCGGACGCACACACACACAAAAAACTAACAAACACACACACAAATACAGCTTGCGTCCCTGCCGCCTGTACCTGGTCCCCGCCTGCAGGCATGATTAATCCAGTGCAGAGTGGGAAGATTTTGACCCTAAACAGAAAAGTCCTGTTGAGGCTGCGAGAGGCACTGATTTATTTCGGGACCACTCCGTCCACATTAATTATCCCCGTGCAGGTGCAAGCCCAAATTCCTCTTCCCCCAGCTGTGCCTATGCTGTGCTACACACACACACACACACACAGAAATAAATAAATAAATAAAGCAAACACATAGAGACTGCCCCCTTTGCTTTGCCAGGCTGTAATCATAGCGCATGGGTGGCACAGAGAACAGCGTCACAGCGGTGAAGGATTGTACACCTAGATTTAGCACAGCATACGCAAGTAACAAACCAATAGCAAACACAAATGTTGTACATGCACGCAAATAGAGTTTGTCCTGGAGTGTCCCCTCAGGCAGGAATGGTTTTCCTACTTCCAACTTATCTCTTTCTCTTCCTCTCAGCCCACAAACAAATCCGCTACTAATAACACACAAAAAAACACTGATACAAATAAAAGTCCTGCATTAAAATATTACCTCAGAGTTCATAAATGTTGGACAATAAACGTGCCCATTAGGGGGGGGGCCGGGCGCCTATTCTCCACGTTTGTTTGAGACCATTATTTTACCTCTCGGCTAGTCTCCTCTCTCACTACCCCGCGGTTGAGGGCGGCCGGGGACTACGTACGGCTGGTCGGTCGCCGTCCGGTAAACTAAATCTCTTTTACTCCTTCGACAGTGACCGCTACTTCTCTGGTCGCAAGTAGATTTCCTCCGCTCTTTTTCCAGAGAGAGCAGAGAAAGAAAAGCGTGACGGGAGGCTGAGAGTAAGAACCAGCAAGTCGTGGTGTGTGTTTGTGTGAACGTGACACCTAAACTCGAGTCCACCCCCGTGATTAGCCCGCTTGAATCCCACGGATTACAATCCGGTATACTCACGTCGCACCTGGAGTCACTGTGTAAACGTTTTGGTGTCGAGGCAATCCCCTTCCGAGTCACCCACCTCGGCCGTCCGTCGAACTGCGGCGCCGTGTGCGTGTGCGTGTGCGTGTGCGTGTGTGCCTTTTGTGTCTTTTGTGTCGTCTCTTTTGTGTCCACATATGAGGCGTTCGGAGCTCAGTGACCCCTGTTGTCAATTGTTGTTGGTCCCCCTGTCCTCCTCTCGCCCCTTCAAAAACAACCTTCTTCACTTTCACTCGTGTTGATCATTATTTCATAAAATGCGTTCCCAAAGTCCTCTTTCTGATATTAACTGGTTTTGTTGTGAATAGGTTGTCGAAATCTATGTTATGACGGAAAGTCTCAATGTAAAGGCTATCGTACACTATCTGTATATTCTTGTTTTTGTTTTTGGTTGAGTTTACTATGACAACATACTTCAGTGAATAAATTCAGAAATCATTCTTGTAATAAAATCGAATGCT